CCAGCAGGATCAAAGGTTAATTGGTAGTGATATGACAGCAGACACAGGTTGAGCTGGCTAGACCTGTGTCCTTATTCAACCTTACCAACTATGTAATAAAACTATGTTACGGGGCAGACAGACTGTATTCTATATGTAATTTTTTTATTTTGCCCAGAGTTCCACTTTAAAGTGTATGTTACATAAAATGTTTTTTTTTTTTTTTGCTGTGTGTTGACATATGTGTTAATCAGTGTCTATCATTTTCATGTACCTCTTCCATCTGAAGTACCAGGTTGATCCTGCCAGTCACGTTTCTTCATTAGTCTAAATTGACCACAAAACACACAAGCTGTTCTGTGTTAGTTTGGTCAGTTTTCATCCTTTGGCTGTCCTTTCAGAGATACAGGACAGTGTGCACACACATAGCATACCTATATTGGGTAGTTTGTTAAGCCCCTCTCTCCCCGACCAATCATAGCCTGTCTCTGACACTCACAGCCTACATAGCCCACTGCTCAAAGAAGAAGATATGCATGGTCACATGAGAGAAACCTTTAACCTTGTTAAAACAGTAAGAAAGATCATTTCTGAAACTAAGCAAAAGTTATAACTGTATTAGAAGGTGTCTAGAACTTTGTATGCTCACATTACTTCATAGTGGTTCTAAAGGCTTGATTTTTTTTTCTTTAATACAACAAACACATCAAACTTATCTGCTCTATGCAATGGCTTTGCACTGAGCAGCCCAGTACTCCTCTTTCCCAAGTCCCTTCCAATGCTCCTGGCTCCCCCCCCTTATCGGTTGCCCCCAGAGCAAGCTTCTTATTCTAATTACTTTTTTTATGTATGTATATATATATATATATATATATATATATATATATATAAAACTATAAATATACAGTATATATTTATTGAAATATATTTTTAAATATATTGAATATGGCCAAAATTGTAGCATTTCATATGTCAATATATTTGGGAAGCATATTTTTAAAATATATTTCAAATATATTTTTCTTCCATATGGGTGTGTTTCTATGGAACACAGAGAGTGTGACTCAGTCCTGCCCCCTGCTCCCTCCTCACTGAAAGGATTAAATGGAATATAACTGAATCCATTTTGTATACACTAATACAAGATGCTAGAAGTTTGTACACACTAACAAAACTGTCTATGCCAGCTTCATGTAGAAATAAGTGTTTTTGCAAACTTTACAAAAAAGCAGATAAGCTTTACTCTCATTTCTGAAAAGTTGTAACCATAGTTTGGGCGTTGGGTCAGATTATAGCTAGAGATGAGCGAATCGAAGTATCCGAAGTGGAATTCGAGTCGAATATCGGAAAAATTTCGATTCGTGCCGAATCCGAAAAATAGCCTAATTCGGACGCGCGAATCGAAATTTTTTCAGAAAATGGCGGCTGACATGTGCGGCGACGGAGCGGGGATGTCTGGGAAGGCGCGCAGACAAGGCGCGCTGACCCATAATGCATTCCTCAACTACATGTGATCGCATCAGCCAATCAGCAGCCAGCCAGCCAGCACTGTGTAATGGTCGAGCTATAAATAGCGGCCATTTTGGAATTCTTCATTTGCCTGCAGTTATTGAACAGAGGCAGACCGCTCTGTACTAGGGACAGGGACAGAGTTAGGGCCACAGAAACGATAATTGGGGACAGAGAAAGTTACTTAGGGACAGAGAACCATTACTCAGGGACACAGACTTGTTAATGAGGGCCACAGAATCGTTATTTAGGGACAAAGAAACGCTAGTTAGGGCCACAGAATTCATAATCAGGGACAGACAGAATTGTTACTCAGTGCCAGAGAATTGTTACTTAGGGCCACAGAAACGTTATTAGGGCCACAGAATTGTTACTCAGGGACAGACAGAATTGTTACTGAGTGCCAGAGAATTGTTACTCAGGGACAGACAGAATTGTTACTGAGTGCCAGAGAATTGTTACTTAGGGCCACAGAAAAACTTTAATTAGGGCCACAGAATTTTTACTCAGGGACAGACAGAATTGTTACTGAGTGCCAGAGAATTGTTACTCAGGGACAGACAGAATTGTTACTGAGTGCCAGAGAATTGTTACTCAGGGCCCCAGAAACTTTACTTAGGGCCACAGAATTTTTACTCAGGGACAGACAAAATTGTTACTGAGTGCCAGAGAATTGTTACTCAGGGACAGACAGAATTGTTACTGAGTGCCAGAGAATTGTTACTTAGGGCCACAGAAACTTTACTTAGGGCCACAGAATTGTTACTCGCACAGACACAGAATTGTTACTCGCACAGACACAGAATTGTTACTGAAGGCCACAGAACTGTTACTTAGGGCCACAGAATTGTTACTCGCACAGACACAGAATTGTTACTCGCACAGACACAGAACTGTTACTGAGGGCCACAGAACTGTTACTTAGGGCCACAGAATTGTTACTCGCAGACAGACACAGAATTGTTACTCAGGGCCACAGAACTGTTACTTAGGGACAAAGAAACGCTAGTTAGGGCCACAGAATTCATACTCAGGGACAGACAGAATTGTTACGGAGTGCCAGAGAATTGTTACTCTGGGCCACAGAAACTTTACTTAGGGTCACAGAATTTTTACTCAGGGACAGACACAGAATTGTTACTGAGTGCCAGAGAATTGTTACTCAGGGACAGACAGAATTGTTACGGAGTGCCAGAGAATTGTTACTCAGGGCCACAGAAACTTTACTTAGGGCCACAGAATTTTTACTCAGGGACAGACAGAATTGTTACTGAGTGCCAGAGAATTGTTACTCAGGGACAGACAGAATTGTTACGGAGTGCCAGAGAATTGTTACTTAGGGCCACAGAAACTTTACTTAGGGCCACAGAATTGTTACTCGCACAGACATAGAATTGTTACTCGCACAGACACAGAACTGTTACTGAGGGCCACAGAAACTTTACTTAGGGACAAAGAAACGCTAGTTAGGGCCACGGAATTCATACTCAGGGACAGACAGAATTGTTACGGAGTGCCCAGAGAATTGTTACTCAGGGCCACAGAAACTTTACTTAGGGCCACAGAATTTTTACTCAGGGACAGACAGAATTGTTACTGAGTGCCAGAGAATTGTTACTCAGGGACAGACAGAATTGTTACGGAGTTGTTACCAGAACCAGAGAATTGTTACTCAGGGACAGACAGAATTGTTACTGAGTGCCAGAGAATTGTTACTTAGGGCCACAGAAACTTTACTCATTAGGGCCACAGAATTTTACTCAGGGACAGACAGAATTGTTACTGGAGTGCCAGAGAATTGTTACTCAGGGACAGACAGAATTGTTACCGAGTGCCAGAGAATTGTTTACTCAGGGACAGACAGAATTGTTACTGAGTGCCAGAGAATTGTTACTTAGGGCCACAGAAACTTTAATTAGGGCCACAGAATTTTTACTCAGGGACAGACAGAATTGTTACTGAGTGCCAGAGAATTGTTACTCAGGGACAGACAGAATTGTTACGGAGTGCCAGAGAATTGTTACTCAGGGACAGACAGAATTGTTACTGAGTGCCAGAGAATTGTTACTTAGGGCCACAGAAACTTTACTTAGGGCCACAGAATTGTTACTCGCACAGACACAGAATTGTTACTCGCACAGACACAGAATTGTTACTGAGGGCCACAGAACTGTTACTTGGGGCCACAGAAACGTTACTAGGGCAGGGACACAGAATTGTTACTGAGGGCCACAGAACTGTTACTTAGGGCCACAGAATTGTTACTCGCCACACACAGAATTGTTACTCAGGGACACAGAATTGTTACTCAGGGACACAGAATTGTTACTCAGGGACACATAATCGTTTAATTAAAGAGTATGTCAGACAACATGCAGAGGAGTGTGCAGAGGAGGCAATGTTTTTAGGAGCGAGCAGACGTGGCAGCAGAGGAAGGGGTCGAGGCAGCACTATTCGCAGCCAGAGGCCAGTGCTCCCGGTGTCATCCAGCGGTCGTGTCTCCACCGACAACCCTGCCGTCGTCGATTGGTTGGCTCGGTCGTCTTCCTCTTCCCAGGTCACCTCTGACACCTACAGCCAACGGTCGGTGGGTACGTCAGACACAACCGTTAGTTGGCATGGCCCGGGACCTAGCCCACTGAAATCACGTGTCCTCTACCTGCCCCTGTCCTTTGGTGTTCCCTCACCAAGCGAAGTATCGCATGCTGTGGGCTCAGCCCCACTGTACAGTGAGGAAGAGCTAACAGAGGGCGGTCAGGAACGGGGGGAGAGACATCCGCCTTTTCAGCAGCTAGGCGAAGAAGTAGTGGCGAGGAGAGTGGCCCGGTAGCCGGTCTAGAGACTAGAGTCAGGTCTGTCTCCTGACCCAGACGCAGCCGAGGGGGCTAGTAGTGAGGCGGAGACCCTACTTGATGATGAGGAGGTTGATCGCACTTGGCAGCCTCGTCGTCATCAGGCAATTTCTTCCGCATCATCAGGAGAAGAGGGTGGCAGCTTGGCAGTGAGCGAAACAGTCGGTGGGTTGCCCAGGAGACAGCAGCAGGGTCGCAGCAGTGTCAGTGGAAGCAGTGTCAGTGGAGCCAAACGGCCACGGAGTAGAGCACCAGCTCCACTGCAGCCTACCACCACGGCCAGTAGTGGTGCCGGTGTGCACGGAGGAAGCAGCAGTCAGCCAGTGAGGAGTATCGGGGGCAAAGTTTCCTACTCGGCGGTGTGGCAATTTTTTCGTCAAGCCGCCCGAGGAAGTAAACGTAGCCGTATGTCGACTATGTGGCCAGAAAGTCAAGCGTGGCCAGGGGGCCCATGTTGGGACTATTTGGGCCATGTTGGGACAATGGGAGACCTCCCATTGCTGCTGTCTCCATCGCCACACTCTGCCATGTGCCACTTTCAGGTCTCCTCACACACTGCTGGTGTGTTCAGTTTTTTGACATAGGGTGCTGGCAGATTACGGGCCTCCCATAGCTGCTGCCAGGCCCCTAATCTGCCATAGGCCCCTATATACCGCCTCCTCATGCTGCTGCCAGGTCCAGAGTCTCTCATGGGTCCCTGTACGGCCTCCCATTGCTGCTGTCTGTCTCCATCGCCACACTCTGCCATGTGCCACTTTCAGGTCTCCTCACACACTGCTGGTGTGTTGAATTTTTTGACATAGGGTGCTGGCAGATTACGGGCCTCCCATAGCTGCTGCCAGGCCCCTAATCTGCCATGGGCCCCTATATACCGCCTCCTCATGCTGCTGCCAGGTCAGCTGCTGCCCTGTAGGTCCCATTGCAGTGTCTCATGCCATGTGTGCCACTTTCAGGTCTCCTCACACTGCTGGTGTGTTGAATTTTTGACATAGGGTGCTGGCAGATTATGGGGCCTCCTATAGCTGCTGCCAGGCCCCTAATCTGCCATAGGCCCCTATATACCGCCTCCTCATGCTGCTGCCAGGTCCAGAGTCTGTCATGGGTCCCTGTACGGCCTCCCATTGCTGCTGTCTCCATCGCCACACTCTGCCATGTGCCACTTTCAGGTCTCCTCACACACTGCTGGTGTGTTCAGTTTTTTGACATAGGGTGCTGGCAGATTACGGGCCTCCCATAGCTGCTGCCAGGCCCCTAATCTGCCATAGGCCCCTATATACCGCCTCCTCATGCTGCTGCCAGGTCCAGAGTCTCTCATGGGTCCCTGTACGGCCTCCCATTGCTGCTGTCTCCATCGCCACACTCTGCCATGTGCCACTTTCAGGTCTCCTCACACACTGCTGGTGTGTTAGAATTTTTTTTGACATAGGGTGCTGCTGGCAGATTACGGGCCTCCCATAGCTGCTGCCAGGCCCCTAATCTGCCATAGGCCCCTATATATACCGCCTCCTCATGCTGCTGCCAGGTCCAGAGTCTGTCATGGGTCCCTGTACGGCCTCCCATTGCTGCTGTCTCCATCGCCACACTCTGCCATGTGCCACTTTCAGGTCTCCTCACACACTGCTGGTGTGTTCAGTTTTTTGACATAGGGTGCTGGCAGATTACGGGCCTCCCATAGCTGCTGCCAGGCCCCTAATCTGCCATGGCCCCTATATACCGCCTCCTCATGCTGCTGCCAGGTCCAGCTGCCTGCTGGTACTGTACGGCCTCCCATTGCTGCTGTCTCCATCGCCACACTCTGCCATGTGCCACTTTCAGGTCTCCTCACACTGCTGGTGTGTTCAATTTTTTTGACATAGGGTGCTGGCAGATTACGGCCTCCCATAGCTGCTGCCAGGCCCCTAATCTGCCATAGGCCCCTATATACCGCCTCCTCATGCATGCTGCTGCCAGGTCCAGAGTCTGTCATGGGTCCCTGTACGGCCTCCCATTGCTGCTGTCTCCATCGCCACACTCTCTGCCATGTGCCACTTTCAGGTCTCCTCACACACTGCTGGTGTGTTCAATTTTTTTTTGACATAGGGTGCTGGCAGATTACGGGCCTCCCATAGCTGCTGCCAGGTCCCCCTAATCTGCCATAGGCCCCCCTATATACCGCCTCCTCATGCTGCTGCCAAGTCCAGAGTCTGTCATGGGTCCCTGTACGGCCTCCCCCATTGCTGCTGTCTCCATCGCCACACTCTGCCATGTGCCACTTTCAGGTCTCCTCACACACTGCTGGTGTGTTTGAATTTTTTTTGACATAGGGTGCTGGCAGATTACGGGCCTCCCATAGCTGCTGCCAGGCCCCTAATCTGCCATGGGCCCCTATATACCGCCTCCTCATGCTGCTGCCAGGTCCAGAGTCTGTCATGGGTCCCTGTACGGCCTCCCATTGCTGCTGTCTCCATCGCCACACACTCTGCCATGTGCCACTTTCAGGTCTCCTCACACACTGCTGGTGTGTTGAATTTTTTGACATAGGGTGCTGGCAGATTACGGGCCTCCCATAGCTGCTGCCAGGCCCCTAATCTGCCATGGGCCCTATAACCCGCTGCTGCCAGGTCCAGAGTCTCTGTCATGGGTCCCTGTAACGGCCTCCCATTGCTGCTGTCTCCATGCCACACTCTGCCATGTGCCACTTTCAGGTCTCCTCACACTGCTGGTGTGTGTTGAATTTTTTGACATAGGGTGCTGGCAGATTACGGGCCTCCCATAGCTGCTGCCAGGCCCCTAATCTGCCATAGGCCCCCTATATTCCGCCTCCTCCTCATGCTGCTGCCAGGTCCAGAGTCTGTCATGGGTCCCTGTACGGCCTCCCATTGCTGCTGTCTCCATCGCCACACTCTGCTGCCATGTGCCACTTTCAGGTCTCCTCACACACTGCTGGTGTGTAGAATTTTTTGACATAGGGTGCTGGCAGATTACGGGCCTCCCATAGCTGCTGCCAGGCCCCTAATCTGCCATAGGCCCCCTATATACCGCCTCCTCATGCTGCTGCCAGGTCCAGAGTCTCTCATGGGTCCCTGTACGGCCTCCCATTGCTGCTGTCTCCATCGCCACACTCTGCCATGTGCCACTTTCAGGTCTCCTCACACACTGCTGGTGTGTTGAATTTTTTGACATAGGGTGCTGGCAGATTACGGGCCTCCCATAGCTGCTGCCAGGCCCCTAATCTGCCATGGGCCCCTATATACCCGCCTCCTCATGCTGCTGCTGCCAGGTCTGTCATGGGTCCCTGTACATTGCTGCTGTCTCCATCGCCACACTCTCGCCATGGCCACTTTTCAGGTCTCCTCCTCACACTGCTGGTGTGTTGAATTTTTTGACATAGGGTGCTGGCAGATTACGGGCCTCCCATAGCTGCTGCCAGGCCCCTAATCTGCCATAGGCCCCTATATACCGCCTCCTCCTCATGCTGCTGCTGCCAGGTCCAGAGTCTGTCATGGGTCCCTGTACGGCCTCCCATTGCTGCTGTCTCCATCGCCACACTCTGCCATGTGCCACTTTCAGGTCTCCTCACACACTGCTGGTGTGTTCAGAATTTTTTGACATAGGGTGCTGGCAGATTACGGGCCTCCCATAGCTGCTGCCAGGCCCCTAATCTGCCATAGGCCCCTATATACCGCCTCCTCATGCTGCTGCCAAGTCCAGAGTCTGTCATGGGTCCCTGTACGGCCTCCCATTGCTGCTGTCTCCATCGCCACACTCTGCCATGTGCCACTTTCAGGTCTCCTCACACACTGCTGGTGTGTTGAAATTTTTTGACATAGGGTGCTGGCAGATTACGGGCCTCCCATAGCTGCTGCCAGGCCCTAATCTGCCATAGGCCCCTATATACCGCCTCCTCATGCTGCTGCCAGGTCCAGAGTCTGTCATGGGTCCCTGTACGGCCTCCCATTGCTGCTGTCTCCATCGCCACACTCTGCTGCCATGTGCCACTTTCAGGTCTCCTCACACACTGCTGGTGTGTTGAATTTTTTGACATAGGGTGCTGGCAGATTACGGGCCTCCTATAGCTGCTGCCAGGCCCCTAATCTCCATGGGCCCCTATATACCGCCTCCTCATGCTGCTGCCAGGTCCAGAGTCTCTCATGGGTCCCTGTACGGCCTCCCATTGCTGCTGTCTCCATTCCACACTCTGCCATGTGCCACTTTCAGGTCTCCTCACACACTGCTGGTGTGTTTGAATTTTTTGACATAGGGTGCTGGCAGATTACGGGCCTCCCATTGCTGCTGCCAGGCACGTAATCTGCCATGGGCCCCCGTACCGACTCCTCATGCTGTGACGTTGCAACAAGGTGGAATTCAACCCTACATATGTTAGACCGCCTTTACGAACAGCGAAAGGCCATCACACAGATTTCCTGATGTTAAAAGCGGATAAAGGTACTCCCTGTGTAACTTAGATGTCAGCCATTGGCAGCTCATGCGTGACACCTGCGCTTGCTCAGGCCCTTTGAGGAGGCCACGCTATTCGTGAGTCGGCAGGACTATGGGATGAACGACGTCATTCCTCTGTTGCACACGTCCTGGAACAAATGCTGTTAACAATGGCTGGTCAGGGTGCGGTAGACGTGGCGCACAGATCTCAACGCCACATGACCCCTGTGGGGGCAGGACAGGAAGAAGAGGAGGAGGTAGAGGAGGACATTGGTGCTCAGGAATTATTGAGTGAAATGGGTGGTTTTTTCCACTCAGCGGACAGGAGTGGAGGAGCAGGAGCATCTGGTAGGAGGAGGAGGAGAGGAGACAGAGGACCCAGACGCACCGTGGCAGTATGCTGTGGAGATGGAGGCAGGGAGTCCCTCGCATTCCTTGGCACAAATGGCCCATAGCATGCTCGCTTGCTTGCGTAGCGACAGCCGAATAATAACCATCAGACAGAGGGATGACTTTTGGCTGTCCACCTTGTTGGACCCTCGCTACCGTTCAAAAATGGTGGCCTTTTTTCACACCTGCTGAGAGGGAGGCCAAAATAACGTACTATAAAAACCACCTATGTAGTCAGCTGGTCTCTGCCTGTCTGCGCCAACGTCCATCCTCAGACACTGTGGGCCCTGTGCGCTCGCGTTCCGCTGCCATGGCAGCAGGGGAGGGGTGGGGTGGTAGGAGCAGTGGCAGCTCCACCAGCAGCGGCTGCCTCAGTCTGCAGTCGATGATGAGTAGCTTTCTTCACCAGCGCAGTGAGGAAACTACTAACCAGCCGCAGCAGCAGCAGCAGCAGCAGCATCAGGTGGACCTGGAGCAGGACCTCAAACAACAGGCTTAGGCCTACTTGGACAGCACCCTGCCAACCGAGGTAGACAATCCCCTTGACTACTGGGCAACGAAACTTGACCTTTGGCCCCAACTAGCTGAATTTGCCCTTGAAAGGCTGTCATGCCCGGCCAGTAGCGTGGCATCGGAGCGCGTGTGTTTAGTGCGCGGCAGGAGGTATTGCAACTCCGCGGAGGACACGACTGTCCACCCAAAGTGTGGAGAGACTGACGTTTGTGAAAATGAATCAGGCGTGGATTAGTCTGGATTTCAAACCACCAGTTCCTGACACAACTGACTAAATCCGCCATGAATCATGCCCCAAACATGTGCCACTTTCAGGTCTCCTCACACTGCTGGTGTGTTCCATTTTTTTGTCATAGGGTGCTGGCAGATTACGGGCCTCCCATAGCTGCTGCCAGGCCCCTAATCTGCCATGGGCCCCTATACCGCCTCCTCATGCTGCTGCCAAGTCCAGAGTCTCTCATGGGTCCCTGTACGGCCTCCCATTGCTGCTGTCTCCATCGCCACACTCTGCCATGTGCCACTTTCAGGTATCCTCACACTGCTGGTGTATTCCATTTTTTTGTCATAGGGTGCTGGCAGATTACGGGCCTCCCATAGCTGCTGCCAGGCCCCTAATCTGCCATGGGCCCCTATATACCGCCTCCTCATGCTGCTGCCAGGTCCAGAGTCTGTCATGGGTCCCTGTACGGCCTCCCATTGCTGCTGTCTCCATCGCCACACTCTGCCATGTGCCACTTTCAGGTCTCCTCACACTGCTGGTGGGTTCCATTTTTTGTCATAGGGTGCTAGCAGATTACGGGCCTCCCATAGCTGCTGCCAGGCCCCTAATCTGCCATGGGCCCCTGTTGTCGCTTGTTGGCATATTCCGCTCGTTCAGATG